CTGATTCGGACCGTTGTGGTGGATCAGGCGCTGGAATAACCCGTCGGTGGCGACCACTGGACAGCAGGATCGGCGCGGCCCCAGGCTCGGCAGATACCGCTCCATATCAGTTGCACCGCTGGGAATGCCCTGTGGCATGTGTTGCAATGGCTGCAACAGCTGCCAATGAAATTATGGCGCTTCATAGTTCTAGTTAATTTAGATTTCAAATATTTTTCAAGCACAGTGACAATCCAATAGTGACACAGACCAAAAGAAGAAAACCGAAAATGAGTGAAAAATGACGCAAGGAAGACTCATGCTCTGTACATACTCGGACCCGAACTTTGAAGGTCCCACAAACCTCGACCGGGGCCGAGGCTCTCAACCATGACAAAGCCGCTCATTGCTCGCATAGCGTCAAGACTGGCTTCTTCGGCGGACGTTTTCACTTTCAAAACCATTCATCCCGCTGCGCTGCAACAAGATGGCGGCCAGCACACCTGGCTAGCCACGGTAGATTTGCGTGGACGGCTGATGCAACATTTTAAAAACGGCCGAGTTTCTAAAACATACCTAGTGAGTGAGCGAGTGAGGCGAGTGAACGTGCGCGGTCACACAAGCAAAACCAAATCCGAATCAGTTTAGTTAGCTTGCTTGCTTGTTTGCTAGGACTTTGTACATTTCTCACCAGCGCAAAAGCGTTCTATATAGGGCAATAGCTCAACCGACTCATCGGGAAATTATGCAGTGCATAACTGGAGTATCGATTTGCATTGTTTTGTGAGGGTACTGGCCTCCCATATTGACTTGGACACTCAAATGATGCCTGGCGCTCCTGGCGCTTAACCGATACTAGAATCCACGAAATCGATTCTTTGTTTGTAATGTCTGTCCACGTTTAAACTGATATCCGAAATGAAATATCATGCCTAGGATCCTACTTCATTCAGCAAACCCAAGTGCAATTTTATGAAGGTATAGTCTGACGCAGGTGTCTGTGGTGTGTCGGTCAAAAGATCCGAACGAATACTCATAGGGCAATTGCAACTTTTTAGTTTGTATTTCTAAGGTCGCACACCTCAACTAGATCGTTCGAGACAATGAAGTAAACAAACGGGGCTTTTCACTGCGTCTAGGCCATGGTATGCATACATTTATCAATAATCACTAGAAGTGTACGCTCGCTCCCGCCTAAGAGGATGAGGATGTTTATCAGTCACTGCATAATACCTGTGTGCTCGTACCGCGTAGAACTGGGGAATGCTGTTAAGGCGTTTTTTTTTGTAGACGCAAATACAAAGGCAAATGATATGGGGCTTGCAGTGAGTGCAGTGTAACATTATACAAGCATCCCGTGATAAAAAAGGCCTCTAGCTGTCAGATCGTTTAAAACGGTGCAACAATACCACTTTCGACTTAATTTATGCTATCTCCACTTTAAACACGTTTGATTACTAATTCCACTGGACGCTTAATCGGAAGGCTATCCGAGAAATCCAAGTCGCAGACAAAGATATTTGAGGACTGACCTCCCATAGACATTATGAAATTGCACAACGGATTCGGTGCAATTCAAGTGTTGAGAAGCAAACTTTGGTCAGTGTTGAGAGGAAGCTGAGCCATTTTTGACTGGTGCTAGGGTTCTCAGAGGCGAGAGCCCCCTGCGTTTATACAAGGGCTTGAACTGTGGGCGTGTAAGTGTACTTATCGAGTCATTGATCAGGGGTTTAACCTGTGACATGTCGTAACATAAGTTGTTGATTGCATTTGCGAGGAACGTTACGCGTACAGATAAGAGTGTAATAATAGCCATATTCCTCATAGAAAAACCAGGAGAATAAAGAGATAGATGAGTTGATATTTCGGCCAGCTCTCTTTATCGAAACAAATCGTGTTACCAGGCTGGTTTTTCTACTAGGAAAAAGGTTATTACAACTGTGTTATCTACGTGATAAATCATTGTTTGAAACTATAGGTCAAATGTTACCAGCCCACCTCGACCAGCCCAGACCAAGACCAAGACCAGCCCTAACAAAACACGATTGAGTGTTTCTTCGATGATGACAGAAATATCGCTACGGTGGCCATATGCTATGCCGCACGCGACGGGCCTTCAAGAGCTGTCGCCGTTTTTTTTTTAGAGAACGACGAAAGCCCGTTTAGCCTCGGGCCAACGAAACGTTGATTGTCTCTTAGCAATCCTTAGCAATTAGCAACCTCTTCAAAAGCAATGCTTCTTTTTTCAAATTCAAACGCAAACGCAACGCAAGGCTACTTTCTTAGCCTAAGTTCACGCAGATCACCAAGGTGTTTGTGAAGGTGATGTTTCAACAAAGGCTTGTAACCGATAAAAGCATATAAATACACCCACATTTTGCACTCATTCACTGTTCAGTGAGAAATGCTGAGAAATGTTCAGAGAAAAATTCAAACATCACCAAGGTGATGTCTGAAGTGGCACCGCGGCGCCGTCAGAACTGACTCCGATCTGAAGCAAAGTTCTTCTAAAAGGTGCACTGTCATGCCTCTGCACTTATATTTCAATACATTTTGAAGGCCTTTCCCGTTGTTTGGACGTCATTTAATAAACCGTTGCGTGCAATGACCTAGCCTGATTTGACCTGACTCAACATTTCCTGATCTGCCCAAGTGTTACCTAGGTCAACATTCTGAACACATGATGGCTTTCCTTTTGACGCCTAGCGTTTGGCCGAGTACCAACAGGTCCCATTCCGAAAGGATTAGCATGCTTACCAACGTGGTCTGCTCAGCACCATGAACTCGCCCCCTCCTATTCGAAAATAGTTCCACGCGCTGTATTGACGCAATGGCGTGAAAGTATTTCAACAACACGGTGCGTCACCAAGCCGGCATACTTCAGTCCGGCCTGAAGTGACTGTTGAATAACCAACTTTTGACCTGGTTTGGCCTTACGTGATTCTATAAGAACAACACTGCGGGCAACATTTCTCACTGAACAGTGAATGAGTGCAAAATGTGGGTGTATTTATATGCTTTTATCGGTTACAAGCCTTTGTTGAAACATCGACCTGCAGAATAGCGGTAGGATGTGATGCGATAGTAAAATGAACGCCTAACGTTTGGGATTATGTTAAGCCCGGCTTTCTAATCCCGGCTTCTTCACCCGGCTTCCAGCCTAATTTGACATAACAATCGCAAGACAATGCCTCCTGGCTTTTAAGAACTACAAGTAATCAGCATTAGACACTCACTGCTTAGCACCAAGTTATGGAAGCTCATCTGAGCTAGAGTGAACTTGGTGGACATAATAGGAAACACATGGTCTTATCTTTGTTGGTTCAACACAAAATGCAGCCGAATCTATACGCTTAATTCTATTCTACAGATCATCCGACTCTTCGACAAAGCAAGGGTACGAACTAGGGTAAGCAAGGTTAAGCAGGGGTATGAACTCATCCAACCTGTTTTAATTCTATACACATTTATTAAGGTACAAACACTCGTGCTTTTCCCAAAGATCGCCGTTAAAAGGATAGGTTAATATCACAGGTTAAAAGGATAGGTTGATATGACCGGTTAAAATTATAGGTTAATATCACCGATTGAGATCCGATTATACGGTGTTTCGACGCTTTGTTAATGCATGTGTAAGTGTTTGGAAGGATGTAGATCAACATTTCAGATAGCACCTGATGGGCTTGCAAACATTTATTGACCTACGCAGATCCAATTGACACATTGCCACCGTCATTGATCTATCCCAGACTCCTGTAATCGAACATCCATCACTTGCGTTTCGATTATCCACATCAAAGTATGTCGAGTCAGTGATCAGCCGAGACATTGAAGTAAAACTTAATAACACGATAATGAAAGCTGTAAACATCTGCACTTGCAGATACATCATTGCCATTTACATTTTGGGATGCACGAAACAAAGTGCATCCCCAGATTTTTTTTTGTGATTTTACATCCCAGTGGCTGTGTCAAGGTCATCACTACGCCTCAAACCAATTGTAACCGTACCAGGGATATAATTCACTAGCTGGAATTGTACGTCCAACAAAATGTAACACTTTATGAAAACTATGTAGGACAATAATGCATCACATGTATTATCTACCGCAGTGCACGTTGGGACTCCGCTGTCCGGTCCTTCACAGCCGGATAACGGAAATACAGTACGGTACATTTTCCAACGTGCCGAGCCAGACCAGCGTGTCGGTCGCTTTCTTTTTAGTCTTACGTTGTTGTGCGGCTGGCTAACGACTTCTCGTTTCGTCTTGTACGTGCGCTCGAAAACTGAACCCAATTCGTAATAGCGTCATAATTCATTTGGAGGGCCATTAGAAGTTGCTACCAGTCAACATCCGGCGTGACCCAGTTTGCATGAGTCGTGTGAAGCCGCTGTTTTTGTCCCATTTAAATGTCAATATTACGCCCATAGGTCGATCCGCATATATGTCATGATGCAAATGATCTCATAAAGAGACGGAGGTGCCGGCGCGAGACCGAAAACAGATCTTCAGAAGCCTATAATCGTTGCAACACGCTGCAAGCTATGCCAGCGCCGGACATGCAATCCGCTGCATTCACGTAGGCTCCCTGCGAAGCCCTCCCGACATTGCGCAATCGCGATAACCAGTAAATCTGAACCACTTCAGTATGTACGTGAATAAGTGGCCTCGCGCGTTTCGCAAGCGATGCGCGTACTTGCGTACGCACGTCCCTGGCGCGGCAACCAACGCCGTATCTATATGGCGGCAGGCAGGGCACCGCAGGCCGATACAACGGGCGCTGACATTAACCGTTCCTGATCGTGACCCGTCGACTGGCATATGCGCTGACGGGAGGATGCCAACCTTCACAGCACGAAACTCGAACCGAACGCGTCTCGTCACATAAGTTTACAGCTGACACGCATAGTGCTGAACGTCGGACGCTGACCCGACCGAGCCTCGGGCAGCGCCATGACGTCATCAGTTGCGTCAGCCGTCAGGGGGCGCCTGGGGGCAGCGGTCCGCACTCGCACTCACCGATCAGCATGGTGACCCCTGGGCTGTCCGTAGCGGGCTGGGCCGGCCGTCCGACTTTCACTGAGGCGTGATCGGCAACGACTGAGGGGCGGCCGCGGTGGCGGCGGCGGCGGTGGTGCCGGTGGCGGCTCCTGGCGGACCGGCTGGGCAGTGCAGTGACGTGATCAGCTGAAGGGCGGCGTGACCAGCAGAGGGGCGGCGTGACCAGAACAGGGACGGCATGACCAGCAGAACGACGGTGTGACTAGAAGAGGGGCAGTGTGACCAGAAGAGGGGCAGTGTGACAAGAGGAGGGATAGTGTCAACAGCATAAGGACGGCGTGACAAGAAGGACGGTGTGACAAGAAGAGGGACGGTGTGATCAGAGGAGGGGCGGTGTGACCAGTAGAGGGACGGCGTGACCAGTAGAGGGACGGCGTGACCAGTAGAGGGACAGTGTGACCAGTAGAGGGAAGGTTTGACCAGTAGAGTGACGATGTGACCAGTAGAGGGACGGTGTGACCAGTAGAGGGATGGTGTCACCAGCAGGGGGACAGGGTGACCGGTAGAAGCACGGTGCGACCAGTAGAGGGAAGGTTTGACCAGTAAAAGAACGTTGTGACCAGAAGAGGGACGTTGTGACCAGCAGAGGGACGTTCTGACCAGCAAAGGGACGGTGTGACCAGGAGAGGGGCGGTGCAACTAGCGGAGGAACGGTCGGATAGGCAGAAAGGTGGCGAGAAATGGTTCCGTGCTGTGCAATGCAAGGCATGCCAAGTGTTCAAAGGAATGAAAATGACTTCGGTACGATAGTTACATACGTTTTAGTCATTAGGCAAGATGCATTTAAATAAATTTTCGCGGGTCACTGCTAACAGAGGATTTATCTGACTGATTTATCTTGAAAGCCTATGTTCAATATAAACACGCTGGTTGGAATGCTATGTTTTTACGTTCACTTTGTCCCAGGTCAACAATACTTTCAACCATAAGGACTTCGATGCATCAGATTATTGTGAGCGGGTTGGTCTGTTCAGTCCACCTTTCCGACTGGGCGACTTGGTATGGCCGATGGCAAGGACGGCAAACATGCCCCGAGCAATGAGCAGGGAGTATGTGTTAGCTGAATAAGCTGCAATAAGCTGCAAGCTGTAGGTCGAATAATCTGGCCAGGTGCGTTGTACCGGCACCGCAGAAGTCTGGGTTGTTTCCGACGACGTGAAATGTCATATGTTTTCTGGCAGGCGGGATCCCCCGTGTGGTGACACGGAGCGCTTACATGGGTCTGCAATTAGAATGATGGGTTCATCAGGATGTGGTGGTGCGAGTTGTTTCTATGCCATGCGGGAGGCAAAGGCAGGTGGCGCAATTCGAGAGCTGGGTGTGCTGTGCATGTCAACATCTGGCGCTCTGTATGCGTGATTTTATTTTTCGTGTATTTTGCGCGTGCGTTGGACGACTTCCGCTTAGCCAGGCGAAGGAAATGAGACCCATTGCTATTTGAATATTGGTTTCGCCTCTAAGGAGGCAAGGCCGCCTAAACTAGGAATGTTCCGCCCGCTAAGATGCATGCATTCGTCGGGTCGCGTACGATGCCTGCATTCTATTCAGGTTGCCCACGCGTACCATTACTGCTTCTTGTGTTCAATATTTTTTCTAGGGCAGATACCTAAATCACCGTTATATTTATACCGAAAGCTCAAAAATCGACAACCACGCTGGCTGCGTAATTGTTCATGCCGACATATATTACGGATGTACCGTCTTCTTGACAATGTATCTGTTTATGTAGCGGAACGTTACACCATACTTCTTGCTCTCAGGCACATCAACTATGACAGGACTATAAACGGCCATCGTCAGCTGTTCTGAGCCAAAGTGCTTATCATCACTCATTGCAGGCCTTCCAAATATCAACTCACGAGATCAAGAGTTTGCATAGCGCCCCGCCAAGAGGTCAACATGACCCGCTTATCCTGACATCGATAACGCGGTCAGCGTAGTGTTAATGGTGGCGAGGTCAAGGCAGCCACACAACTTTCACCTGACAGGAGTGTGTTCCGGGCCTCAACAGCATTTGGCTGATGCTCAACTCACTGACCGTTGGCCGGACGACTACATGCCCCTCCGGACCAAACCCGCGTGCATGAAGTGCTAGTGTGTTGGAATGAACAAGCACAGGCGAAACGCCTCGCGCTCGCATCACAGAGCTATGGGCAAATCGCCGGAACACAAACGGCCGCTGGATGTTTTCTATCGTTGACATATCGGTCATGGGAAGACAGTATGCTGCAGCGGTTGGTTGGTGGCCTTGGCTTTCATGCTGACAAAAACGGGTGGTCGATACGTGGAAGCTGAAAAGTCTGGCAGCCTTACGGAGTGTTGCACCTTGTTGCGTGATCGATCGCAGGCATTTTCCGTGCTCGTTTACGGCATGCTTGCATGGCTGCAATTCTTTCCCGATCTGTCGTCATTGCAGTATGTTTACTGCCGTATGTTATCGGCGCGTAGCACGCAATACGGCCGCCAACGGGAGGCAAACATCAGGTGCTCCGCCTGAAGCACCGCCTGCCGTCGGTCTTCCGCTCGTCTGCTCCCGCGCCAGCTGTGGCCACCGATCTCTGCTCCCCCGGCTGTGACCGTCAATTTCTGCTCTCTCGCCGGCTGTGACCACCGAACTCTGCTCCCCCGGCGGCTGTGACCGCCGGTCTCTGCTCCCCTGCCGGCTGTGACGGCTAATCTCTGCTCCCCTGCCGGCTGTGACCGCCGGTCTCTGCTCTCCTGCCGGCTGTGATTGTCGATCTCTGCTCTCCCACCGGCTGTGACGGCCAATCTCTGCTCCCCTGCCGGCTGTGACCGCCAATCCCTGCCGCCACTGTGCATGCTCTGCCCTGCCCGTAGACGCATTTGGAATTTGAGTCATGCTCCAAGTTTTTTCAGCGTGTGGACACGTAAGGCCGACAAGTTTTACCGGCGCAGTAATCCAACTGTAAGCTCTTGTCACTGGCACCGCAAGTCGCGATCGCTGTTATGTTCAAGCGCAGTGGATCACGGCCACGCCACCGACCGTTAGCTCCGACAGACCCCAAATGCACTGCCCATCCACCTCAAATCACCTGCCCAATCAGTCGCGCACGGCGTCTCCCTGCGCTACGGCGGGAGGCGTCAGGGCCGCGGAGCTGCAGCCGCGCAGCCGACGGTGCGGCCGGCCGCCGGCGCCGGGCCTTCCCGACCGCTCTGACGTCAGCAGGCTGTGGCGCGTGTTTCCCTGTACTCCCGCCAGCGTAGGCCGCTCTCTCAGACGGCCGCAATCGCACTCAGGCTTGTACAATGCCAGCAGGTAGGGGACTTTTGTGATGTCTGTGCTCCAGGAGAAAATGTCATATTTACCGGGAGGAAAATGCGCATGGTTTCACCGATTTGAGTGCCTAAAGTTTAGTCGACAGTATTCGGATTTGAATAACGGTATGGCAAAGGCCAGCCACAATGGGAGGCTCGTCCATCCGCGTCGTTTTCTCATTAATAGCTCCTTTCTGAACCCTCGCAATGCTCCATCTCGCCGGGATCATGCTGCGGCTGTCTGCCACGAGTGGGCCTCATTACCGCCCTGGCGGGAGTCCCGCCCGGGCATCTGATCTTACTCCGAGGACGGGTCCCTGTGAGTTGTCAGGCTTGGTAGCGGTAACGACCCACACTGGCCAAGGTGTAGCCTCGCCACTCACCGTCCCCTAATTCCCCCATAGCTCTAAAATGTTCGTCGCTGACGACTGAATCTAACTAAGTCCCGAAAATGTTCCCCCCCAAAACTTGAAAGTCAATACAGCTAGCTCCAGGGATGATGACTAACATTCTGTTGTGAAGACCCTGCCCCCTCCCCCTCTACAACGACTTGGGCCCTGGTGGTTCGCGCATGGGCACGTACCCCCACCAAATTTATGGCACGTGCTAATATTTGTGCCACCAGATGCTAACCCTCGCCCTGATTCACCGTTTGAAGAAGGCGGACGGATGGGATGAGAGTGGTAAGGGTCGATATGACACCCTGACGTTTTCAAACCAATAGAAAAATAGGTTAGTAAAAAGCACTGGTGGATCTATCTCAACGAGAGCTCGATTAACCAAATATATGACATGCATTGATATTTATGCGACTGAATGTTAACCCTCGCCCTAATTCACCGTTACAAAATTACGGACTGATGGGATAGCAGGGGAAGAGGTCGATGCGACACCCTGACGTCTCCAAACCAATCAAGGTATGGCTTAGTAAAGAACACCAGTAGATTGATCTCAACAAGATCTCGCAATTACTAATAGTTTCTGTGTTGCTCGGTCAATAATTGACTCCGTGATGTTAAGTCCAAGGTTAAATTTTCCAAAAAAGCGCACTTTTTTAGCTTTACGGGATCATACATGCAAGACCATGCCTGGTGGTGCCACGAAACTTACCCAGGCCTGTTCCCTGTTGTCTTTAGTACAACAGCGTACACTGCTATGTCTTTTTAGCATACATTCATTATATATGGCTTTGTTAATGCAGCAAATGCCGAACGTTCCGCGGCATCTTCGGTAGCCGCCCGCCGCCCGCACCGCCTGTAGATCGTCGTGCAGTGTTCCTAGAAAACCGCCAATGCTCCAAAACCAGACGAGCTAGGAACACGTTTTTGGTGTCCAAGCGCGTGCAATGGATGGCCAGAGACTAATGCAAATTTTTGCGTGATTGCACACAATGGTGGAGAGGTATTCTTAAAAAAATCCTTAACAGTTCGCATTGACCCCCGGGCCAGGGTTAATAGCTAGAAATTATAGGTATACAAGTAAAAGCAAGAATTTCGAGAACATGCGATGCTGTTTTAAGACGCCTAAAAGCTGCGCGCGTCTGAGAGGCACAACATTAGGCTTTCAGTGAAACTTTTTGGATTGTTTCCCCATTGTGACATTCTGCATGCGCCTCTGCCTGCACCCCAACACTAGTTCAGCTTCCAATATTGTTACTGCCTGTCAGGATACTAAACAGATTAAACAGAGAAGGAAAAAGTTAAATGCCACACAAAACTTCATTTGATGACCGTGAGTACCACACTCTCCGAAT